TTGGCAATGATTTGAGATAAATTTCACTGAAATTGGGAGTTTTTTATCTAGTTAGCTTAGGTCAGTTCGAAAACTGACAGTTGCGAAATCTAAGTTCAGTGGCTGATAGCTTCAAATATCAATCTTCAACTCGCTGAAGATTGATATTTTGTGGCTATCAGCGCATTTGTTAGACTTATCAGAAATTCTTAGGAACTTGTTAAAACAACTGCAACTGTCCAGTTTTCAATTTCTGACTTAAGTGAATAGACTAAAAATCCCAATTTCAGGTAGAATATCTCGTCGACGCGGGCAACGCCACCGGACCACGCGACCGCCGTCAGCGCGCTCGAAGCGAAGGCGTGGGACCTGAACGCGGCCGCCGAGGCGATCTTTCACGCGCCGGAAAATCCCACCCACCACCTCAACCTGAATCTCATTGTAGAGCCGAGTTAGCTCTCCCATGCTAGCCGTTTTCTCTGTATTAGACCCCGTTTCATATCGAAACCCTGTTTTAATATCCTACAATGTGCTGCTTTTTTTGATTCGCCATACACTTACTCCCGGAATCTCCCTCGCCTTGTGAATGTTGTGTACCCTAATATACCAAACTACGCCCCCCAAATTGTATACAGTTTTTTGTGTGTATTTGCTTGCCGTTTCTTTTTCAGTTTCAGACGATGTGCGCCAATTGCCGAATTAGGGCGCGGCACATACCAAACTCTCCCTTCAAATTTGATATGGCTTTTTGTGCAATTCGCTTACGAAAAACCTGTGATCCTTCTTTCCGTGTTATCATTTTCCAGCTTTTCATTTCCTTCCTGGTATCGGCATTTGATCGCTTCTTGGCTGTATTTATTTCTGGATGTGTTTTTGTTGGCCGCGCATTTTCGAACTTGTCTGTATTTCTAGCTCGAATAAAGGAATTTTGAGAGCCTTTCGAGAAGTGTGGCTATATTCAGCAATTTATGAGCAATTTTTAGGGCCCCAATTTCTGGTACTCCTCCCATTCAAGCCTTCCATCCGGAACGTGCGTATCGGCCACCGCCAGCATGGTATACCAAAACCCAATTCCGCCGCTATCACCGCGCTTTTTCATACCCTGAAATAAAGTTTGACTACATCCAAATATAGTTTAATGTCGATAGTGTCAATGCCTACGCTTACCTGCTGCATTTCACCAACGGTGATGAAGCCGTCACGGTTTGCGTCGAATTCTTCGAATTGCTCGCGTAGCCTTTCTAAAAACTTTAGAATTGTGTTTTTAGGTGATTGTCCGACCTGCTTTTATCAACAAGGCGAATACAGCGTAGAATATTAGCAGGGCTTTCAGCATTATAGCGCGAGGCTGGACGGCCTGTTTGTAATGTTTTTATAGCCACCAGGATGAGGGTTGTGAGTTTTGATCCGGGATGAGTTTTCTCTCGCTTGGATTTCTCAATTTCGGTTCCGGAAGAATTTTTCTTTTTGGCAATTTCCCGGAAACAGCGTTCATTTTACCAATCGATCAATTGTGTTCCCAATAATCATTATGACTGTTGTAGTTTCAGTATAGGAGGAAATCAATTTATTGTTTTTTAAATTTTCTATTTACAAGTTTCTGAAAAAAGTATCCGCTGCGATTTTGTAGTTTGCCATTAAAAATGGACCCCAACCCTGTTTTATCGGATTTATGTTGCTTCAAGGATTTTCAGGATCCTTCAGAAATTCGCCAATTTCCAAAAACTCGCTCCAGCTAATTGTTCACATCGGTTGGCAGAAATTTTTGGGTCCAAATATCTTCAGCATTCACCATCAGAGCGCGTTTTCCGAGCTCCTAAAATGACGGTATCGTTTTAAATTATCAAAATCAATAAAAATCGCAGCTTACCCTCGAAGCCTCAAAAGCATCAATTTCGTGATCTCCATCACTATCCAAACGTTCGAATAATCTCCTCAATTCCTCAGTAGACCAATTGATATACGGTATCCAGCCGGGAGGATGATGGACTGCTTCAAATTGTCAATTATCCGGATCTCGGAAGGTTAAAACAAGACAATACTTGGATTTGGTGGCACCGAGTCCGGGTCCAATCTGCTGACATTTTCCGGGCTTTGGGCTGAAAGGCTGAAATAGCAAAGAACTGTGTGAAAATTACCGGTCCCTTGCAGGAAAGTTACCACCAAAATAAACAAGGCCAATATTTGCTGCATTAAAGAAATTATAGCGTGTTACTTCTGGGACTACACTTTCACCTTGAGCTCCTCCAATAAAACGCGTTTTTCGGGGTATCCCGGCCCATCTCAATCAGCCCTTTCTCGCAAAATCAAAACCAGCATCAATCATCATCAAGATGACCAAAATCTTCAAATCATCGGCGAATTTTCAAAACAACTGCAAAACAGATCGATGAAACCGATCCAGGTTTCAGAGCCTTCAAAATGTGGCTGACCGCCACTAACGCCATCAGCTACGCCAAGAACACAACTTCAAAAAGTTAATTTCAACATTTATTAAAGGGGCTATGAAGCCATTCAATCCATGAGTGCGCCCCCGTGAATGAACGCGTTCCAAAATTTGTGCGAAACGCTCGTTTTTGGTGGAGGTCCGGGGGTTAATGCTAACCTCAAACTTGGGTAATTTAACCGAAGCTGTGGATGGATGAGGGGAGATATCACCTATAGAGATGTAAAGTATGTATCTCTAGCAGGGCAAGCATACAGTCAGCGATTCCACCCGTTGTCTAGCCACTTTCTACACGAGTTGAGTCTTTCTACCTTCCCGATCTGTCGATTCCCTCTTACCCTCACCCACTCTTTTCCCTTACCCTATCACAAAACCCCCTCTTCCCCTCCTCCCTTCGCCTACGACCATACCACGTTGAAAGCACGGCATCCCGTCCGATCTGCCAAGTTAAGCAACGTTGGGCTCGGTTAGTACTTGGATCGGAGACGGCTTGGGAATCCCGAGTGTCGTAGGCTTTTTGCATTTTTGCGGGTTGAGAATTAGGTAGTAGGATACTTCGAAGGGATACCGTAGCATTTTGGATCCGCTCTAGCTTTGTTTACCCAAACTTGAATTCAAGGTTTTGAAATTCATATAAGTCAAAACCAAATTTAAAAAATGTTGGATCCCTAATATCCCAACTAATCCTGTTGAATTCTGTCGAACGTGGTCTTCCTGACCTTGGCGGTGTGGTAAACAGATAACCGACTGATACTCGGTAGTTCCAGTTGACCAACAACAACATACTACAGGAATGCTATTTTTGCTGCTAATACCGTGTTTCATGCTATGTTCTGTAGCGGATGTCCCATCAAGCAAGTTTGCACATAGCTTTTAAACTAGAACTCAAGAAAATTATGATTTTCTGCATTTTTTTAGCAAACAAAACCTTCAAAGAACAGTATCGCTTTGTCGGTTGGCCAGCTGGAGACTTGCGGCAACAATTTGATAAATTGGATATTAACGGAAATGGAAAAATCGATATCGGGGAGGGAATTATGGTAAGAAGAGAGCTTTGATCTGTTTTCTTTGGCACCATCATGAAATAGTCTTTTTTAGGTGATGAGCAATCAGGCTCCAATTTGGGACGGAGATATGGAAAATCTATGGTCGACAATTTTGAAGGAAGCCGATAAGGATCACGATGGTCAACTGGATTTTGAAGAATATAAACTTTTGGGGCCGTGTTGTCTGGAGAGGATTGTCGATTAAATAAAAGAAAGAATTAGGTGATTACCTTATCACTCATGAGGATCCCTATTTTGGATTGATGGATTATTGCGACCAGCCGGGAGATAGTGAAAGAGAGACAAAGAGATAAAAAGAGAGAGAGAGAGAGAGAGAGAGAGAGAGAGAGAGAGAGAGAGAGAACAAGCGAGGGAGAGAGGAAGGTAGGGAAAAACAGAGAGCGATTTTTGTCGGAATGATCGATAGCAAGATAAATATCAAAAGGGTACCTATCTAAAGATTTTTGAATGACAACGGGACTCTTAATATTGATTTGTCTACTTGCTGGCTCTATTTTAACGGGTTCGTGGTTTTAACATCATGATACCGAACTAATTAAGGCTTTTCATGCTTTCCTCGATAGAAATATCTGCAGACGCCATCAGCTTCAAACAACGGTACCCCAACATCAAATGGCCAGCCGGCGACCTCGAGCAGCAATTTCGAAGCATAGATGCCAACGCCGACAACAAAATTGAGCAGCTGGAGTTAACCGAAGGTTTGGTAAGTGAACCTAAATGTTTGAAACCTGACAAAAAGACATCCAGTGCGCGCTGCCATCAGAAAAGTTCAAAAACCACCCACACAAAAAGCAAAAAAGCCTACGACACTCGGGATTCCCAAGCCGTCTCCGATCCAAGTACTAACCGAGCCCAACGTTGCTTAACTTGGCAGATCGGACGGGATGCAGTGCTTTCAACGTGGTATGGTCGTAGGCGGTGGGAACGTGGGGCGAAAGGGTTTTTGTGATAGGGTAATGGGTAGAAGGGAATCGACAGATCGGGAGGTAGAAAGACTCGACTCGTGTAGAAAGTGGATAGACAACGAGTGGAATCGCTGACTGTATGCTTGCCCTGCTAGAGAAACATACTTTACATCTCTATAGTTGATATCTTCCCTCATCCATCCACAGCTTCGGTTAAATTACCCAAATTTGAGGTCAGCATTAACCCCCGGACCTCCACCAAAAACGAGTGTTTCGCACAAATTTTGGAACGTGTTTTCCCAAGCAAGCGCACTATTGACAAACAATATCTAGAGTCACTTTACAATGGCTTGAATACAAAGATATCTTTTTCAGGTGCTGAACAACTTGGGCCATCTATGGGATGGCGATCTGCCGGATTTATGGCAAACCGTCCTCGATGCGGCTGATGGCGATCATGACGGCCAGCTGAATTTGGAGGAATATAGAAAGTTATAAACCCTAAAACGAGATTTGCACGCATGTCAGGCATGTCAAAAATCAGGCCCAAACAAATGTCTGCTACCACGATTTCGAAAAACGCGGATTTCGTCGGTATTTTTGCGTTTTTAGCCTGTCGTGATTATGGTTGTCGGGATTTTTCCCTTTTTCCTGCCGAAATTTTTTGATCCGGTGAGATTTTGGCCTGTAAAAATTCTGGTTGTCGGCATTATCAATCTGTTGAACTGTTGAACTATTTTGAGTGCCCGACTAATCCAGGCGAGCTCTGATTCACCTAGAGGTTTACCGTAACCCCGATCCCCGCACTGTACAACCCTCTGCTCTGCACTCCCAGGTACCAATCTCCGCTTCCCACACTTCGCCAGAGCTTTTATCGAAAGAAGAAACATCCGCTCATGCATTGTTTTTTCCAGGGGCGGCGGCAATTTCTGTTTGTCCGCCTTTTCAGGGGGCCGGAAACAGTATTTTAAGCTGATGCTCAAACAATTCAGTATCCGAATTAATGAATTCCCGGTTGTCTCGACTTATAAAAAGCCCAAACGGTTTGGAATTCGGGATTAGAGGGGGCGGCGTAAATAGATATAAATTGGCCAAGGGTCAGTTCAGGGGGCTACAGTATTACTCAGATCATCGCAGGTTCCAGTTTTTCTCCGAAAATCTTGTTTTAAAGGGTCCGGCAAGGCAAAATTATGTGGTTCATGGAATAGCATCCCATTAGAAACTCGCTAATCATATTCTTTTTCACCTCTCCAAAACCGTAGCTCATGTCTGCGCTAACTAG